AAATATGTGACTGTCTAGTTTCTTGAACAAACTTTGTTCATTATTCCTTGAATTGCGTATATTTTGCTCATCTTTGTTACCCATATGCCTCAGTTCTCGAAGTTTGTTGCGCGAAAAAAATGTTTCAATAAAAGTCAATGGCTATTTATGTTTGACTGCGCGTCGTGTAGCCAATTTCTCTCATTGCTGTTATATTTTTGTTCGTTGTGCCTATGGTCTGCGGCTCCGATCATCATTCGGAGTATGCGCATCACGTTCGTTCCATTAAGAATCGACCGAAAAATCGTCAGTCGTTGTCGATCATCGGTAAGGGCACCAACGATCCAATCTGTTGGCCTCGTTAAAAACAATTCTCTCGACGAAGGAAAAAAAACTCGCCGTTTTTTTCTTCGAATTATAATTTTAAGTTCGGTTCTTCGGTAGTTTTTGTGTGCATTTCATTTGGGTGTTTTGTGTTGTGAAAATTTAGTGTAATTTTTGTGTTAAGTGTGTGAAATTATTTACGAATCGAAACGAAACACGAATTTCCAAGAGGAAAGAAAATTGATACGAAAAAAAGTGGCAAAACGAAACGGAATTTATTTGGTGAACAAAGGATTTTCGAGCAGAGATTCAATCAGAGTCAATGTAAGTTGATCTTTGCTTTATTAGCGCGCTCATTGGCGCGGGCGAGAATTTGTGCGATTGCTGAATGAGACTAGAAAATTTATGATGCGAGAGCGTGCGTTGTTGATTTTATTATAGTCACACACAAGCAGCGTTCATTCATCAATTGAGCACAAACAATTTTTGCACAGTTTCAGTTCGACCCGGTCGATTCAATTGGCACAATTGGCCAAATTAATAGCGACATGAACAGATCCGACAACCGCATTAATCCACACTGTTTACATTTCAAATGGTCCCATGCCGGGTATTTGTATCATTTTTGAAATTATTTCTGAATGAAATGAAAATAATTGGGAGATATTGTGTTGAAATTTAGAAAGAATATCAACGAATGAACGGATAATTCGTACAAAAAAACGTAATTTTCTCTGAGATTGCATGTAAAGGAGCGTCTACTCGCTCTTCACTTTTGATAAGAAATTCTAATTTTTTTCATCAATTCTAATAGAAAATTTTATTTTTTGGGTCCCTAATCGAAGTGTTTACGCTAAAAAAAAATCTGAAAATATCAAGGATGTATATAAAAAGTGAAAAGCCGCCAAGAATTGAATCATGAAATAAACAAGTTGAATCCTAAGTTGAATCATTTGCACGTGTTTGCATTGACTTTCATGAAATCTATAAGTGTCTGTGAGCATTGAGCATTTTGTTAGATGAAGGGCGTGTTTTCTTTCACTTATACACATAATTTGTCTTGCCAATTCTAATGGATGATGCTTTGCAACGTCTTGAAATTGTCTTGAATTATGATTTATGATCCTATCAATAAAACTGCTTACAGATTTGAATGAGAAAAACGTTCATAAGCCTGGTCATGTGTTCTGAACAATATTCAGAAAACGTTTTTGACACATTTTTGAGTGTCAACATGCTCGAAATACTTTTGCATCATTCGTTATCCGCAGTGTGGTGAATTTTTGGATTAATTCGTGGGAATCAATTCATTTCGCTTTCTTCTTCTCCTTCCTCCTTATTTCTTTTCCCAAAACAAAAAGTGTTTTCTCGCATTCACTTTTTCGATTCGTTTTTTTCTCGCCTCAACTTTCGAATTGCTCTTTTTTCTTTTAGCTTTATATTTCTATTTTTAATTCATTTTTTTGTTCTTTTCCACGTTCGTTTCGTTTGAGATCAGTCCCTGTCAGTGTTTTCTGTATGATTTTCTTTAAGCGAACGCAGTTATTTGAAAACAAAATTTTCATGAATTATCTAATAAAAAAATCTCATAAAACAATGTAAGTCGTAACAGGAATGCGAAAAATCTCTTGTTAATGCAATAAAATGTAGCTCTGTTTGATCTTAAACCCTTGCATTTACATCTAACGAGATTCGATAATCATCAAATTCGACACAGTGCAGCTGTTTGCGCACATCTTCTGTTGTACACATAAATAAAACATGAAAATTCCGGACACGTCTTTAATAGCCGACATGGGCTCTATGCATCCATATGTCTTCGATTCAAAGTTTAGCCATAAATATTTCAAATGCGCATCCAAAGGTTGGATTTCATGTAAAAAATACTTCACCAGAGCCATAAATATTCGTATTTTAAGTGTTGGAATTTTACCATTCAATTTGGATGATGATTTCTTGAATCAACTTTCTTTCAAACGCCATTATCGAGTTGCTGCTAATCGTTTATGTGTAAAACGATTTTGAAACCATTCAGAAATGATTTTTATTAGATGTCAGAAAATCTACTAATTTAATTTAATTGAAAAAAAAATCTTTTAATTCAGAGATAGAAAAAAAAACAAGTGATGACAGATTTGTGAGTGTGATAGCGTGACCAATTTGTTCCAATGGTAAATCATTTTCTCCCGCTTATTAAGCCACACATCGGTAAAACAATAATCAAATTCAAAACATTTTCAGTTAGTTGATTCTTAGTTTCAGAACATTCAGTGAAAACTCCAAACAAACCGAATTCCCGCCAGAAATAGAATGAAATAGTCGTGGCCTAGTGCAGTCGATCGTTGCATCGAACAGGAATGTGACATTTCGAAAAAGTGTGCAAACACTAAATTTAGACACGGAACCGCATTTCAAAACGAAATTCAGTGGGTTAGATGCCGGCGTGTCTGTTTACACCGCTTCCGTAATCAACATGTAAATATTTCAGTTGGTGGTCTATTTTGAGGCAAAAACATGAAATTTGAATATCACAAAACATGAAGATAGGGCAATGGAACAATTTGTTTGTCTGAGAAAAAAAAATGCTTATATGATGTCCGAAGATAATACTCGGAAATTGAAGTAATTTCGAAAAGAGCATCTGTTTTTCGTAAAAGACACGATTTTTTGGTGTTAACATATGTTTGATATACCAAAGGTCTCCCTTTCTTTTTTTCTTTCATTTTTCAATTGAATCGGTAACGTTTCTGAATATTGAAAATCACAAAATATTTTTTCAACAAAAGATGAAAAAGATAACAAACAAAAAAAGGACAAAAGAAATGACATTTCGTCACAACACTGTTATTATCGGAATTCAAATATTAATCTAGAAATTTTCGAGCGCATTAACTTGAAATTCATTTGTCGTTGTAAGCTTATATCATTTTATGTCAACTTGAACCCTGGAATGTTTTTCGACTTGCATCTAGTAATTTCCATTAATTTCTGATGACAAAGTGTTGAGCGTATATAAAGGACGTTATCGGTTAACTTAAAATAAGTCTGGTTCAACCAATTATCGCGACAATTCAATTCAGTTGTAATCCGCCTTCGAAAGTACATGAATCTCAGAATGAGTAAAAGCGCTTTGGTTAGTAGTTCAAACTGAATATAATATTCACAACAAAATTGCTTGAATTTTGTTCAATCAATAAAATAAGAAAGAAAGGAAATGTGATACTAATAATTTAATTTTTACAGATAATTGTAGCTTTTTTTGGCTACTGTTTTCGTTACAGTTGATTGCCGACCAACGAAAGATTTATTTTCAAGTGAATTTTTAGTGAACTCTTTTTACTTGTTGAAAAAAGAAAACAAAGAAAAAGTTATTTGGATCTCTGTAAAAAGAAGCTTATTTCTATTTTTTTTGTATAAGTTTTGAATAATCAAAAACGAATCCATTTCAACAGGCCTTTTCGACGATGATTTCGATATGGTCGATACAAAGATGATGACAGGGCCAGGAGCAAAATCAGGTTCTATGGTCAGCCAACAATTGGTGTTGGTGTGCGTTAACGGTAAATGCAAATCAAAAACGCAAAATTGTTGCGGAAGAAACTGCAAAGTGTCGTTCAACAACCATAATGTCAAAAACTTTGTGGTGGATCGAACACCGGTTCTGGGTTTATCGCCGACCTTCTGAAATGGGATCCATTTGATTCAATGAGTGGTCTGTTTTCGGATTTATTCGGCGGTCGCAAACAAATTCATTCGGAATCCAACCAACAAGCAATTCAACAATTAACACAAAGAATTTAAAAGCGAATTTTGAATTCTTTTTGGTTCAATGTTAATAAAAATTGGTGGTAAATGCAATGAGTGAAACCTTTTTATAATTAATTTTGCTCATGAGATTTTTAAAAAATAAATTTGTGTTGTAAAATGTTGGAAAACTCCTGTTTTTTATCTGATGACGACTTTCCTTTTATATTGTTTCGACTTGTTTGGACAAAATTTCGAATTTTGAAGCATTTTGCAATTTCAAAGAATTTTCGCATCATTCGCTCGACAAATCAATTCAATAATATTATGGAACTAAGTGCTCTGATATCAGTATAGTTCAAGTAAAAATAGGTATAGTCAATACATGTTGTTATCTGTAACAGCGATTGAAAGCCAATTAATGAACTTTGACACATAACAAAACACGCATTTCATCTTCGGCAAATTGGCGTCAGCAACAATTAATCGGAGCAAACAAAGAACTCAAATAAAGTAACGTCAAACTAGAGCTCATAAAAATGATGATTTGTGTTTCTCCGCACAAACATCACTGGTCGATTTCTAAATAGAACAGTTGTTGTCGCAATCGAATTAAACTTAATACAAATCATACAAAATTATTGACTCAGATGTTTCGATTTGGAAAATCTTCCATTTGTTTCCACTGATGGAACCAATTTTTCAAACCGCTTTTAATGCATATTTATTATTTATTTATTGAAAAGCAACAAGATCTTTGGTAATCGAATCGAATGGATGAATGAATGAAGTAAGATTTCATTTTTCCCCCTCGAAATGAGTAAAATTACCAAATTTTGTTCGAACTCGCCATTTATTTCAATTAAATATTCTGACAAAGACAACATTTCTGAACGATATTTTTAAAAGAGATGAGACGTAGCTCTATCACAACTGTGTGCTCTAAAAAGTGTTCAATTTTCTTCGGCATTGTTAGTACGCTTATCAAAGAAAGCGGCTTGCAGTGCTCTGCCAGCAGCGCCATTCAATTCTTCGTAGTACGGTAATTCCGAGAGGCGGTCAATCCATTGAATAATGTTTGTATGATTGTCTGGGTCCAATGGCACGATTTCAGTCAAAGACGACGCAGTTGCGACCAAACAGAAATCAGCAATAGTCATATCATCGCCACAAACATATGGTGATTCAGAGAGAAAACACTCCAAAATATCCCACGCAGCTTCGACATTCTTGATACGATCCTCCGGCGTTTCAGTTGCCTTTTGAAAAAGCACTGGCTCCAAAATGAATCTCAAGCGAGCAAAGAGATGACTTGAATCAAAGTGCATACGTGAATTGATTTGAGCGCGTTTAGCCAAGTCTTTAGGGTAAAGTGAATCGTCATCAGCACCATATTTATCCACCAAATATGCACAAATTGCATGACTATCGGCTATCAATACACCATCATCATCCAGAAGTGGCACAGTGTGCATTGGATTCATCTGGAAAATATGAAAACATTTTAAACACGTGAAATCGATATTGAATTCTTGAATCGTATGGGAAAATGTGAATCAAATTCACTGTGTCAATTGTTTGAATTATAAAAGAAAGTTCCAATCAAAAATGATATGAAAAGATAATGAATTGAAATTTACACGGTAAGCGTTTGACACTGAACGAACTTTTCATCACATCAACCTTAAAATTCAATCAAACTTAAACAACAATTGTGGGAGAAGTTCGTTGAAATTGTCATTGAATATTGAATTGAAGGGAATAACAAACGAAATTTACCTTCAGATATTCCTCCGATTTATGTTCTGCATTCGCAAAGTCCACGGTTTTCAATTCAAAATCTATTCCTAATGCGGCACCAGTTAAAAAAACGGCCCGACACGGTGGACTCGGTGGTACCATATACAAAATTGGCTTTTCGGACATAATTGAATGGTTCTAGTGAGGAAAAAAAATGAAAATTAGAAATAAAATGAAAAGTAAAGAACAAGAAAGCTAAGAAAGTCACATTCAATTTCAAATATAAAGCCATATATTGCTTTACATATATGTTTTTTCGAATCACAGTCCGTCCATCGAATAATGAATATTTTATTGTTTTACAAATATTTCACAGTGCTACAAAGAGTATGTGTATGCCGTATATGTTGCACTTTCACTGGAAAGTTCTTTCTTTTTATCCAATATTTTCGAGCCACTGTTTGTTTCAAATGTTTTTTTTTTGTTGCTCGCTCCAATTCTTCCCTTAATACTCGCTCTTGACACAATTCTGCAGAAAAGTGTTTAAAGTTTGAAAACAATTGTGAATTAAACCGTCGTAATTACTTTTTTCGAACTTTGATTCAACGATTGAATGAAGTTTTCAAAAGAATTATCTTTAAGAAAATGTGAACAAGTTTCCCTTATTTTTATTCACACAACAAAAATCTGATAGTAACTGAACGTTTAGTGTCGATTGCAACACTTTATATACCGACTTTTTATCCATTCTGACTACTAACACAAAGCTGCAATTAGATTTCATATTTCAACATGGAAAAAATCGATAGAACGCAGTCTAAAGCAAATCACTGGTGGTAGTAGGAGTACAGTGCATCGTAGCTGGTCATTTTCCTAGAAAATCGAACGGAATTCTCAATATGGGCTCAATCATTTTTAATGGACATGTCCATTTTATATGAAAAAAGTATTGTAATGGACAATATTTGCTCGGTAAAAAATTCAGAAAAAAAAATCTCAAGAATATGATTTCCATTCATTTTTAGGTCCGGCGAATACAACATAAGACTTTCGAAATGGAGACTTTGGAATAATGCAGAAAAGTTCGTTTTTATACTTCTTCTTACGCTGTCATAAATGGTGAAAATATCACATTTCAAGTGGGAATTTTCGCCTGTGTAATGAATGCTTCGCTACTAACACAAATATTCACAAAGCAATCTATGAATGTGTGTTTCAATGGCACGTGTGTATGATCTATAAAAAAAACGAATCGCATTCAGAGAAATTTCAATCAATAAAAAAGCCATGGCAAATAAATGAAACAAACAAACTAAATGAAGACCACATCATCAGCTTTTGATAGCAACTATTTTGAGAAAATCAATAAACATATCCCTATTTCATAAAAAATGCAGGTGATTGCAATGGAAAATGTGTTCCAAGACGTTGTCAACTGGCCATAGCACAGCGAACGCCATTTTTGCAAGTGACTGTCATTCCCTAAATCGCTACGCAAAAACACATACATTCAAAATTCAACAATGCGTAGTGGAAACCGCGGATTTATACACAAATGTGTCTCGTCGGTGAATTGCCCAATTCAAGCTGCTTATGGTTTTTTTTTAAATTTTATTCGTTTCGTTGTTGTTGTTGCTCCGTTAACTCGATCGCTGCATATCAATTTTTCGTTATACATTACCTTGACTTTCCTTCGTCTATTGACTATTATTCCAGCTTTATTCTTGAACTTGAATCATTCAATGAAATAATTTGATTCGATTTTCAAATAGAACTGTTATGGTTGCAATTGAATTTGATTAGAAAAAATTCTTGGTTTCAAAAATATATTTAAAAAAAAAAGACGATGTAAGAGGTGCACCACTTCACTTTCATACTCCTGTGTATTTCTGCAAAATATCAAAAAAAAATCTGGAGTCGGTTTTGAATTTCGGTTGAACATGACATTTATTTCTGTTTTTAAATAATTGGCGAAGATAAGATTGGAGATCTCAAACAAAGAGTTTTGTAAGATTCGAGAAGATTTATATGAAAAAAAATTCCGAAAATTCTCATTGAAAGAAAGACACATTTTTATAGACATTTTTATCAATGTATAAAAAAGTGTGCGGAAGATAAAAATGTCTCCTGAATATAATCTTCGAAAACCATAAACAGACTAATGGTCTGACTTTTACTATTTTCAAAAATTCCATTTGACGAACGAACGATTGGTTCAGATTCACTTTCCTTCGGCATTTTTCTTCAGCACATCACGAAACTCGGCCTGCAACCCTCGAGCTCCGACGCCGTTTGTTTTTTCGTAATATGGCAATTTCGAAAGGCGATCGATCCATTGAAGGATCTTGGTATGTTTCTTGGCATCCAATGGGACGTTTTCAGTCAATGACGACGCGGTTGCGACCAAACATAAATCGGCAATGGTCAAATCATTGCCACAAACGTATGGTGTTTCGGAGAGGAATCGTTCCAGAATATCCCACGCCGTTTGAATTTCCTTGACACGCTCTTCAGGCATTTCGGCTGACTTGTAAAAGAAAACTGGAAAATACAAAAATCGCAATCGAGCGAAGAGATGGCCAGAGTCAAAGTGCAAACGAGAATCCACTTGAGCGCGTTTCGCCAAGTCTTTTGGGTAAAGTGAATCGTCTTTGCCGTATTTCCCAACCAAATATGCGCAAATTGCATGACTGTCAGCTATCAGCACGCCGTTATCATCGAGAAACGGAATTGTGTGTTGTGGATTGAGCTAAAAATATCCAATTCTCTGTTAATTGTTTGAATACATAAAAAATTAAAATTAAATTCAAGGTTGATTTAAACGAAAATGGAATTGAACCAAAAATAAAATAGATTTGTACATTTTATAAAAATCTTCGAGACATCCAATCTGAGCGAATGTCCAAATTCAAACCAAGACATTTAGTCTTTGGATAAATGAATTCGTTAAACGAAATTAGTTCATACTTTTTCGGGTTTAATGACATAGAGACAAAAAACGGCACTCACCTTAACAAACTCCGGTTTTTTGTGTTCCATGCCCAGTAAATCAACGGGTTTTAACTCAAACTCAATTCCCAACGCGGCACCAGTCAACAGAACAGCTCGCACCGGTGGGCTTAAAATATGCATGTACAAAATTGGCTTCTTCGACATGATCAACCGGTTTCTCTTCTGTAACTAAACGAAACGAATGTTGGAATGAAATATAAGAACGAACATTGACATTCAATTTAGATTGATGTTTCATATTTTGCTGTTGGTGTTATGTGATTATCGCTGTAATTGGAATTTTTCCAGTAATTCGCATGTAGAAGTTATTGCGATATTGATAAAAAGGGAACGTTTTTCTAATCGGAGAATATTATGCAATAAAAAACGATAATACAAAACAAACTCATGACATAATAAAAAACAATAACAAAGAGACATTCAATTAAACGGAAAAAAACAGAAAATAAACTTTCAAAGATTTTTTTTTTAAATTCTGCATAAGTTATAAATAATCTTTAGTGAAGATTCTTCACAGTCTGTGAAGAAGTGAAGTGACATACACTTTTCGTCTTTTTTTAAAAGCAAAATATGAATAACTTTTCTAGTTTTTCTATTGAAACTCACCTCTGAAATTAAAACACTTGACAACGGAGACGTTGACTGTTCACTATGGAATTCTGTCCACAACTGAACCGAAACACGTTCAACACCGTCGCTATCAATTATCATCAAGTAGCTCCATTCTTGTTAGATTCAAAAACGTCCACGAGTCGTGGACCACGACAGTTTCATCGAACATTACTTTCATTGCGTTTATCACATACACGCACACGGTCGAAGCGACAAAGTGTTTTAAATTTTTTGAAAATATAAATGGCAATACACAGTGAATAAGGTAATATATGCGTATACAGTGTATACTATACACACACAGCTATATCGATGACTGAGCAAAAGAAGAAATAATTAGAAGAACTCGCATTAAATAACATAAACTTATTCGTACAGTTGTATTATACTTTGTATTCTATTGCGTCTGTATTCGTTGATAAATGTAAATTTCATTACTATGTCGGTGTGTTGTGTTGAAGTATTGGCCGCCTGTTTAGTAATGAGTTTTTATGGTCAAACAAGTCA